CCCCAAAACCCCAAAACCCCAAAACCCCATAATTGCCTTAAAGATAGGATTATTTAGTGTCAATATTTGGAACAGAATTCTTCTAAAGTGCCTAAACTTTTCTTATATGTGCGTGCATCAAAAAGTGGGGATTTAGTTTCATGGAAAATATGTGATTTATTATAGATTCTATGAAGTCAGGCAAAATCACTCGTTGATTTGTGAGAATTGAGGAGCTCTTACACTCAGCCTTTAGAGGAAGTGTTACATTTTAGAGAAACACTGATGGCATTTAGATAGGAATTATTGAGTTTTGGGGCTTAATTATCTCCTTTAATAGCAATACAGCTAGTATTTATGTCAATTGCTTATTTTTAGCATAAATCATCTTGAATAAAGTTGTCATATACTGAAAAGATTTAGAAAATCTGTTGTCTTGTTTATGCTCACTAAGAGGAAGGATTTACAAGTAAATTCTGAGGTTTTGAGGCTCATCTGAGAAAGTACCAAGCCAGCGCTAGTTTAGACAACTAAGGTCTCTGTACATATGCTTGTATTCTAATCCTCAGTTCTCATTGTTTAGGAAGGGAGGTATCATTTACACTGTATATTTTCTAATTTTATTACTTAAAAGAGTACTCTAGACTTATATTCTGCAATTCTTAAATCAATTTTAGATAGCCTGGGCGGGTTTCCGTGCTTAAAAACACATGGGTGATACTCAGAGACAAGGAATGGCTACAAGCTATCCAGCAAGGGTTCATAATTCCACACTCGTAGGAAAATCTACTTTATCATCTCCCTGTCCTAGGTTGTTCTACAAGCTGTGAGCTAGACTTGATCTCTGAGCGTAATGAAAGTATGATTATTTTCCAGAAATTCCGAAAAATGCAGGCCTTCATTGACACCTTAATGTGTATGATTGCTTGATGCCGTTCATAATTAACCATTAAGAATGTAATTATAGATTTAGATGGGTGAATTTTACTTACATTCAAGATCAAATGTAAGGGTATTTTAGAGGTAGCCAACTGTGAAAGCTGTAACTTAGTAGGTGCAAATCCTGAGATAATCTCATTACCTGCACTCTTTACGAAGACTACATGATTACGGATGAGATAGCTGGGCTGTGTGAGAGTTATTCAATTAGAGAGGATTACGATGAGAGTGATTCATCTTGGAAAAACTGAGCAGGCAGTTGAGAAAGAGCTTGTCTGGTTCAGACCAGTCGTTTTGATTGACCCTTTGAGAAGTACTGAATTTAATAGCTGTTCAGAAAAAGGAGGTGTAATGTAATCTTAGTGGCAAATGTGACTCTTAATATCAGCCTTTTCTGTAAGAGTTTTGGAGTTAATAGAGTCTTGGTTGATTCTACATTGGTCTATTAAGTTCGAAGCCAATAGAATTAGGTACTCTCGAATTCTCATACGGTTATTACAACTGCAAATCTTGAAATTACTTCATTATTCATCAATTTAGAGACAGCAGTTGCTATTTTTACCAAACCTCTGGGCTTAAAGGACAACACCAGCACTTTTCTAAACCTGGGTGTTGTTTCAATTATGCTTGTTCCTACTGTAAACCTCTTGTGCCTATTCTTATACTTAAAGTTGTTCTTTAAGGGGTAACCCCAAAATAACTCCTCTACATTGTTTCAGTTGTGCAATTCTCTCTTGAAATGGTTGCATGAATACCTACTGCAAGGGAGAATTTGGGTGAATTCGAACTGCATCTTCTGGGTCAAGAAGAAGAGGTAATCCCCTCCAGATAAGTATGAGTTCAGAGGCTTTAATTTAGTCAATAAGAGCATGAGGTGGTGAACAACCAGTGTCCCATGGTTTGAGATAATCTCGGCAGAAAAGGCACCAATATTGGTGAGCATTCTGTGTAGTAGCATTTATTCAGCTTAGGGGATAAAATCTTTACATATGATGGATAAGTATCTTCAGAGAGTTACGGCCGTGCTATTTAAGCTCATTGAGGGATCAAATATTTAATTGTATTTATTTTTATCTCTAAATTGGGGTTTTGGGGTTTTGGGGTTTTGGGGTTTTGGGG